AAATCGATGAACTAGATATCACAAACACCAACGGTTGCATTCAATCTATTTAAACATTCTTCTTAAGATTTAACAATCATCAAAACAGCAAATTATCAAACCCTACTTGCTTCACAAGTTAAAGAAATCAAATAATTACGGATTTGATATTTAACTTAGCGGCAGATTGTAACGAATAACAAACTAGTAGGTCTCCTAGCAATTAAACAGAATAATCATGGAAATAAGTGTAAAAGAATATTCAATACTTAAAAATATGAATTTAATTAAGAAAAACCATTTAGATATCAGAATATGTGGTTCCGAGGCTTCAATCTTCTTCGACCAAATTTAAAAGTTTAGTTACAATCCATGAAGTTATGAGCAAAATAATGAAGAATGAAGTTTTGAAGCGTTCTATACATTCGTCTCTCATTCTAGGATTTTAAAATATGTATTTATAGTTGTTTCCATAGGTGGTTGACTTAAATTCGGAAACTAGAATTTTCGTGTCGGGAATGAACTATGTGCCCAAATGGTAGTAAGTCATGCGACCACATAGAACATTGAAAATGGACTTCGAAAATCAGTGAAACACCATTTTGTGACCGCAAGGAATTAAAGCTATGCAACCGCATGGCTTTATATAATTTCCACCGGATAGCTTTCAGTATTTTGACCATATCTTTCTCTTTTGATACCCAATCGAGGTAATTCAAGATGCATTAGAAAGATAACTCAAAGGGATACAACTTTGCTTCAGATATTGTCTTCCAATTCAATCGTTTTCTATGTCAAAAATGGGTATGAATATGAGGCTTAAAATCGATGCATAACTTTTTTCGATTGGAAATTGATGTGTGATCATACTTTGACGATATTTCATCTCTTTGATGTCTTCTTTCATCCAATTAACTCCTAACACTCTGAAATCTTGATCGTGAGGTTCCACATAACTTTTGAGTATTTGTATTTCAATCCCTAAACTTCGTTTTCTTTCCTTTTGGCCCTTGTTCGCTTATTTCTTCCAAATTACGCTATATCCATAAGATTGCCACCTAAATCAAAATATGAACTTAATGAGTACATTTTGACATTGATTAATCATACATGTACATAAAATAATGAGGGAAAAATATTCGCTTTACATTCCTATTACATGCCAAAATATTTTTGGGCCGAAGCCATTAACACCGCTTACTATATTGTTAATAGAGTTTTAATTAGTCGAAAGAAAACCAAAACTCCATATGAACTTTGGAAAAATAGATTTCCCAATATCGGTTATTTCAAAAGTATTGAGTGCAAATGTTTTTTTTTTTTTAATACAAAAGAAAACTTGGGAAAATTTGATTCAAAATCCGACATTGAAATTTTCCTAAGATGTTCATTGACTAGTAAAGCCTATAGAGTTTTCAAGAAAAGAACTCTAGTCGTTGAAGAATCCATACATTTCACTTTCGATGAAGCTAACTCTCTTGATCGTGACAAAGATATGTATTTTGATGCAAGGTTGGAAACTCCATTCGAACAAATGACTATTAAAGATCAACACAAAGAAGATCCACAAAATAAAAAGCAAGAAGGAGAAAATGTTCAACAAAGTGAAGAAGAGCCAACCAAAGTCTAAAATGATTTATCTCTACCAAAAGAATGGAGGTTTGTTCCATTTCATCCTAAAGAACTAATCATTGGTGACCCATCGAAAGGTCTTACTACTAGAGCCTCTACTAAAAATTATTTAATTAGTTGTGCATTTATCTCACAAATTGAACCAAAAAACTTAGAAGAGGCCGAGTTTGATGAATTTTGGACTCTAGCTATACAAGAAGAACGAAATCAATTTGAACAAGACCATATTTGTGATTTAGTAGTTAGACCAAATTATCAAACCGTCATCGGTACCAAATGGGTTTTTAAAAATTATCGTGATGAAAACGGGATTATTGTGCATAACAATGCTAGATTAGTGGCCCAATGTTACAATCAAGAAGAAGGCATCGATTTTGAAGAAATGCTTGCACCGGTAGCTAGATTAGAATCCATTCGCATGCTTCTTGCATTTGCTTGTCCTAAAAAATTTACTCTTTATCGAATGGATGTCAAAAGTACATTTCTTAACGATTTTATTCAAGAAGAAGTATTTATTGAACAACCACCAAGTTTTAAAAATCACAAACATCTGGACTATGTTTTCAAATTTCGAAAAGCTCTTTACGGTCTAAAAGAAGCTCATACGGCTTGGTACGAACGATTGAGCAAATTTCTAATTTTAAATGGTTTTTCAATTGGAAAAGCGGATACCACTCTTTTCGTTAGAACTCAAAAGAAAGATATGATCATTATTCAAATTTATATTGATGATATTATATTTTGTGCTACTAATATTCATCTTTGTGAAGAGTTCTCTAAGTTCATGAGCATAATGGGAGAACTTAAATTCTTCCTCGGTCTCCAAATTAAGCAAACTTGTGATGGAATTTTCATCAATCAAAGTAAGTACATATTGGATATGCTCAGGAGATTCGACATGGATGACTTGAAGCCAGTGAACACCCCTATGAGTTCATCCATAAAATTGGACAAGGACGATCAAGGTACGTCCGTTGATATAACATAATATCGAGGTATGATCGGATCTCTTCTTTACTTAACCGCAAGGAGACCCAATTTTATTTTTAGTGTATGTCTATGTGGTAGATTTCAATCAAGTCGTATTGAATCGCATCTTAAGGTCGTAGAACAAATCTTTAGATATCCTAGTGGCACCATAACTTTAGGGATTTGGTATCTCAAGGGCATTCACATTGATCTACTTAGCTATTTGGATGCCAATTGGGCCGGCTGCACAATCGATCGTAAAAACAATAGCAGAACATGTCACTTTCTAGACTTTGCACTTATTTTGTGGTTTAGCAAGAAATAAGATTCTATTGCCCTATCTACCACCGAAGCCCAATATATCTCGACCGCAAGTTGTTGTGCACAAGTTCTATGGATGAAACAAACTCTTAGTGATTATCACATATCCTTTGATCATACACCTATCATGTATGATAACACTAGTACAATAAATTTGTCTAAATATCTCATCTTGCACTCTCGAACGAAACACATT